ATAACCTTGTTATAGACAAAAAAATTACAATCCTGGAATGGTTTACAGAACTAAGCCATAATCGCCAAGCTTTTGCATCATGGGAAAGTGAATTTAAATCCCCTGGAAGTAAAAGTTCATCAACTGAGCCTTTTTTCGTCAAGGTTTGATTGGGATTGCATAAAGGAACTGCGAAAAATTTGACAATGTTTACTACATCTAAACATCACTTTTCTCATAGTTAGTACCAAGTCATTGGCCGAGAAATTAACAGATGAAGAAAGGGTTTCCATTGTACAAGCAAAAGAATCTAGGAGTTTTCTAGTATTTTTTCTAGAAATTATCTGTACTTTGAAATATATCCCCAAAATATCCTATTTTGAAATTAGTTTCCCAATTTGTTAAAGTAACACCAAATAGGTCTCTGTTAATGTTTAGTCTAGATCTCATGGAATTGGTTGACATTGAGAAATGAGATCTAGTCAAAGCAGATAGGTGCATAATGGAAATAGTAAACGGATGTTAGAGAATTTTAGGAACAAATTTAACTCGGGAGATCTCTTTTGCATAACTTAAAAACATTGGTGGCCTAGTTTCAAATCATGATACTCTTGGTATCTGTTTCAAAATACATATAATTTTGGAAATGAATATAAAAAAAGACCCCAAGAATCTAATAAATTTAGTCAAGAAGCAGAAACTGTGGCTTTGATAGGATAATTACTGTTAATGGTAGAAGTCGTTAGCTCAAGGAATGAGAATAGTTATTCTTCGTTGTTAACTCACATACGAAACATGTAGGGAAGAAAACGGTTCATAGATCTAAGATTTGCTGTGTGACAACCTGTGATACCCCGACACGGCAATTTTGATGCCGTACTCGGTCGGGTGCGGTTTGGGTACGTTTCCGCACCCAAACGGAAGGGACACGGGAGCAACTCATTTCCCACGTGTGAGAGGACTTTTGGAGCTGTTACATTTGAGGAAAATGGGTTTAGTTGAGATATGCAAGGAAGAAGAAGACTCTCTCTCTCTCTCTTATTTTCTTAGTTTTAAATTTGTTAGTGGAACATGACATCATCATGCACATGGGTGCTTGACTATTTGCTTTTGTCTTTTCTTTAAATTTAATGGTAATGATAAGAATGGGAGACATGTGTTCTCATATATATATATATATATATATATATTTTAGGAACAAATTTAACTCGGGAGATCTCTTTTGCATAACTTAAAAACATTGGTGGCCTAGTTTCAAATCATGATACTCTTGGTATCTGTTTCAAAATACATATAATTTTGGAAATGAATATAAAAAAAGACCCCAAGAATCTAATAAATTTAGTCAAGAAGCAGAAACTGTGGCTTTGATAGGATAATTACTGTTAATGGTAGAAGTCGTTAGCTCAAGGAATGAGAATAGTTATTCTTCGTTGTTAACTCACATACGAAACATGTAGGGAAGAAAACGGTTCATAGATCTAAGATTTGCTGTGTGACAACCTGTGATACCCCGACACGGCAATTTTGATGCCGTACTCGGTCGGGTGCGGTTTGGGTACGTTTCCGCACCCAAACGGAAGGGACACGGGAGCAACTCATTTCCCACGTGTGAGAGGACTTTTGGAGCTGTTACATTTGAGGAAAATGGGTTTAGTTGAGATATGCAAGGAAGAAGAAGACTCTCTCTCTCTCTCTTATTTTCTTAGTTTTAAATTTGTTAGTGGAACATGACATCATCATGCACATGGGTGCTTGACTATTTGCTTTTGTCTTTTCTTTATATATATATATATATATATATATATATATATATATATATATATGAGCTGTGTCCTCGTACCTTACTTTTTACAAATTTTCCGTGTTCCGTACCCGTGTCCGTAACCGTGCCTATGCAACCTAGGTGACAACCATCAAGTTTTTAAAATATTAACAACGAAGAGATTGTTTGTTATACTGTTCTATATATGTTTGCTATTATTTGAATATTTATGGATCACCTCGTTTCTATCAGTCTAATGCAGCTAACATATTGTCTTCAGACATGAGTTTTCCTATTTCTCGTTGGCCTAAGTAACATCGGTATTTTTGCTCCACAGGTAGATGATGATGATTCAAATATCAGCAATGATGCTTACTTTGTTACAGAAGAAATGTCGGGGGAAAAACTTGCTATGAAGAGGTTTTTGTAAGCTGTATGATCATAAATTTCTTCAATAATGTTTTCTTCACTTCCCTTGAGAGATTAGTTTGAGATCCTTCATGTGTTTTGTAAAATAGTACTTATAGCTTGCAACCTTCGATTTTTTTGTCGGACTGTTGGTACCCTTGACATTCATGTAATTTCAAAAACGGACTGGAAAAATATTTATTTTGCTATACTTTATGAAGTTCAGTAGTGTTTGAATACAAGATTCATACTGCGTATATTATTCATATATTCATTATACACTATCGATATTTTAGAGTGATTGAGAGTGAAAACTCCTAATCGCTAGGCTTAATTGCACAAAATACCCTATAGATTCAACTAAGTTGCACTTGTATACCCCACTTCTTTTTGTTTGCACTTATGTACCCTAAAGTTGTTAAGTTAAAACTTTCACTTACATCAGCACTTAGATACCTTAAAGTTTTCAAAACTTGCACTTAAATGCCTTAAAAGTTTTTAAAATCGGCATTTAAATATCTTGTAGTTTTTTAAAACTCACACTTAAATACCATCAAGTTTGCACAACTGGGCGTATTTAAGTGCGAGTTTTAAAAACTTTAGGGTATATAAGTGTCGCCAAAACAAGTGAAAGACATACATCCACAATTGTTCTTGACTCTTTGTCTTCTTAAATAACATGCAACTTTCTAAACTACAGTTGCAGTTGCAACTGCAAGCAATCAGTAGCAATGACTTGTGACTAAGCAGAAATGGCTCAGTTGCGTGCAACCGCACTTGCAACAGCTCCAGTTACATGCTAGCAACCGACCTCTTAATAGTCCACTGTAGATGTTTGTTTAATTGCAATACGAGTAGTAGGTGCAAGTGCAGTTGCTCAAGTTGAGGTCTGTAACTGACACAGATTTAGAATTACAAGTAACACATAGTTGGAATTGTTTGTAAGTTTGCAAAGCCATAATGATAGTGTGGGGTAACTGGGGTTGGTATAACACCCCCCCTCCAAACAGTTGCATGCAACAAACATTAGGTTGCGGTTATAGTGAGACGGTTTTTGTTTCGTTTCCAAAAAAAAAAAAATTGGAAATCTTTTTCTAGTAGCAAAAACTTATTTCCACCCCCTTTTCATAGGTTCCTTAGAAAAAGTTTTTTTTTTTTTGGCATGGAAACATGGGGGAGAAAACATGTTCCATCACATTTCCTAGTTTGGTTCAAAAGGCAAAAGTAAGAAACCAATTGAGATGGAAACATTTTCCCTGTTTGTTTGTTTTCTTGTTTACAAATGGAACATCATAGGGAATGTTATATTTAGTGATCACGGTGAAATTACAATCCGAATAAGACAAAAAAACCCATCCCCTATATTTGCTTTGAAATTTTGATTCCAACGGTCAAAATATTAAGACAACGGGATACATTAGCAGTCTTGGTAGTACATAGAGCATGAGCACAATATTTTATCACCAAACCCATCAAGTTGCTCAAACTATCATCTACTATTGCTGAGCTATTTTCCCACTTGATATTAAGAGATGCGAACATACGAAGGGTCTCAACCACATGAAGTTCGACGCTTTTGCAAAATACCAACACCGCTTAAAGTATGCAAGAATGAAAAGAACAAGGGAAAAACTTTTTGGGGGTGTGGAAGGTATCCAAACGAGCAGTGCAAATTTTTTTGCTTTGCATAGGCTCAAGATGATAGTGCAGCAATGAAGACAACTTCCACAAAAAATGAAGAATTTTTCTGGAAGATGACTATGCAATTAAAATGGAGAACTTGAAAAAATAATTGAAGCTCACAAAGCGCCAAATTTGAAAATTGGAAAATATGTGTACTATTGCTCGGTTTGTTTTGCATGCTTCTACTTTTATCAAACATATTTGTATGCATTTTGAGAATGAAATGAATAAATTCCTTAATTGATAGAAAAAATTATGGATAATCCATTGAAAATAGAACCAAATGGAACCCGATTATGACAACCAAAACAGAACCAAATATAACTTTATAATCAAAACTCATATGTACCGAACCCAAGTACAACATGTCAATATATCGTGATGCGTGCATCAGTAGAAACAAAATTGTAGGGATTAGGATGATAATAGCAAGAACGATAACATAAAATGATGCGCAAGCGAGAGCTTAGCAAACCTATCAATAACCACCAAATAGAACTTATAACGCATGAAATCAGTCAACGCCGAAAACTGTATGGAAATATTTTAAAAATCAATAACATCATCAATAATGAAGTGGGTAGAAAAGCCACAATAACCAGAGATTTTTGCTTCTTCGATTGATGAATAGGGGAGGGCCGAAAACTTATAATGGACAAAAAAAAAGAGCAGTAACCAAATGCGGTTCCCGCTAAAAAATAACCTCTCTGGGTGAAAAGGGGGCGCGAAGTGGAAAAAATAGGGGTAACCAGACATGGTTCCTGCTATAGAAAACCTCTTTCCCCTAATCACATTAAAAAGGTATTATATTATTAATGTTTCCCGAGCTTTTCCGGACATTTCCATGGTAAAAAGTGCAAAATTTCCAGCTTTTAAGAAAACATTTCTTAAGGGGCTGTTTGGTTCGCTATTATAAGGGGTGGAAAACTCAAAAAACTCCTCCACGTCAGATTTTTAGCCCTCCACGTCAGTTTTTTTTTTCCCGTCCATTTCTTTGTGCCGCTTTGGTTCGTTCGAATGGAAGAGGGAAAACTCTGCTGAAATCGCCGCCAACTAAGATTTTTTTTCCCTCTCCGATTTCCTTCCCCAACCAAGTGAAATTGATGAAAACTCTGCAACGTCAGATTTTTTTCCTTCTCTGCTTTGTTTACAAAAGTTTTTCTTTTTTTTCTATGCGAACCAAACACAAGAAAAATAAATACATTGGTTTCCCACCATTTTTATGTGCGAACCAAAGCAAAACAATCTATTTCTTGGAAAAGTTTGGAAAACTCAAAACTTGTGTTTCTTTACATGGAATTACATTTCTCTATATCAAGGAAACGAACCAAACAGCCCCTAAACCACAAAGTGAGACGAACACACAAAAGGAAACCCTTGGATTTTTTTTCCATTTCCGACATTGTTGGAAAGGCTTTCCATGGTTTTCTTTATGACACAAACACCCCCTTACAATAAATTACCATTAGAGATGCATACCATTCATATCTGTATCTTTTTGTCAATCATGGATACTGGTATAAATATGACTCCGTAAGGAAAACTTATATTCATATTCGCTGAAATCGAAAACGAATGCAAAAAATACATGTGGATATATATATATATATACACACACATGTGGATACAAAACGAATGTGAAAATATCAGAAAAATTATAGTTCCTACGATACAATGGAGTTCACTAATTTGTTCGTTATGTCTGAAAAGCTAAGATTTGATCTCTTAATCATCAAAATTAATCTCGAATATATTAATCTAATTATTATTATTGGTATTATTATTTTTCAATAACCCAAACCGAAATCGAACTCAAGACCGTGAGAGTCATACTAGGACCTCCCAACCATTTGGGTCACCCCGATGGGTCCATTAATCTAATCATTAAAACTGTTACAATTGTATGGTCAACATACATTTGGATCCATAATCCATTAATCTAATAATTAAAGCAGTGGCAATTGTGTGATCAACATATATTCGGATTCTAATGGATACCGATATAGACACATCCACAAGTAGAGATATTTTTGCGCACCCCAAGTTACAATGAATCACAAGTCTAAAAAAATATTAATGTGTTCGTTGTGTCTAAAAATTAGATCTCTTGATCATCAAAACTAGTCTCAAATCTATTAATCTAATTATTAAAATGATTGCAATTGTATGATTAACATATATTAGGATCCATTATCCATTAACCTATTTGTTAAAAAAAAGGGGTTATTTCAATTTTAGTCCCTCAAATCTTCAATATTTCCAAATTTGTCCTCTAAATCATGGAAATTGCTATTACATCCCTCAAATCATCACAATGTTTACAATCAGGTCCTTCTGGTTAACACTGGTTAGATTTAAAGGAATATTCTATTAAATCTAACTTTTATTACAGTTTTCCCCATTATACCCCTGACCCATTAAAAACCGAACCCGTTTAGACCCGGTTGACCCGTTAAGAGCATGAAAATCCAACCCATTAAAACACTCCTTCTCCAACATATATCATCTCAGTTCTAACCCAATTTCAACGGATCTTTCTCCTCTCATCCTTATAAAAACTCCAAGAGACTTTATCTATGTTGGAAATTATGATTAAATCTGGAATTAAACTCAGAAAACAGATGTACTGTAATTTTTAATTTTTTAGTTCACTATTGTACGTTATAGAAATGCTATGCTTAAAGAAATATTTGGCCTACTCCGGTGCAAGGATCCCAATGCCAAACTGCTTCCAGGAACAGCAGTACAGTACTCTGGTGTGCACCAACTCAGTACTGTCAAGATCTCCTCGATCTATAAGACATTTCGGTCAAGGCAAAAGATCTCCTCGATCTCAGAACCTTACGGTTCAAAACCTTTTGGTTTAAGACAAGTTCCTGCAGCAGCAGCACAACAGCAACAACGTCAGGATCGACGTTCGTTTTCCAGCACATGACGTTCATGTTCCATGCACGCGAGAGGATTTTTAGCCATGACCAAGAGCTGCCTAAGGGCGCTATTTATAGGCCTCCAAGGCCAGCTCAAGAGTCACAAGCAATTAATGTGACTGTTACAATTCTCAATGGTAATTAAGAATGTAACATTAATGTATTAAATTGCTCTTAATGTTATTGTAACTGCTGCATGCATTAACTCCTGAATACGAGACAATCAATGGACGCATTGCTACGAAACACGAGGGTCACGACTCAGTAGATCAGACGAACCTCGTTTGACAAACGAACGTCATCAAACAGGTGAACCTCGTATGACAGACGAACCTTGTTTGACAAACGAACGTCGTCAAACAGGTGAACCTTGTATGACAGACGAACCTCGTCAAACGAATGAACATAGTCAAACAGGCGAACCTCGTATGACATACGAACCTCGTCAATCGAGCGAACCTCGTCAAACAGGCGAACCTCGTATGACAGACGAACCTCGTCGAACAAGCGAACCTCGTATGATAGACGAACCTCATCAAACGAATGAACATCATCAAACAGGCAAACCTCGTATGATAGATGAACTTCGTCGAACGAGCGAACCTTGTCA